GCGTGGTTTGCAACACACCTGAAGGACAGGGACTTCTGCTGTAAAGTGGGCAGAATTCCATCAATCTGGAGGAACGCAAGAACAGGAGTTTCTGGAGGAGCGATCCACGGGCCACTCCTAGTTTTACTATTCATAAATGACCTCCCCACCGAAATCTCCTCACCCATCCTCCTGTCCGTGGAATAAGCTTCCACATTTTATTCGCTCTTGCATGTCTGTGTTTCAGTTTCGACGTCTACTAAACGAATTCTTTCTTTTCACGGATTTCTATAAGTTTCTTGACATTCATATTATATCCACAAATAAGAAGCATAATGGAGCAATCGGCACATAACAGTGGTCAAGCCATTGTGTCCACTGTGAACGTACTCAGATCTCTAAATGTAAGAATCGGTTTTATTTAAGCCCTCCAGCTTTTTAATGCAGATGGCCTTACGATTGCATGCAACGACATGAATACTGGCTGCTCTCCGTATAATGAACTTAAAGAATATTGTTTATCTCTCAAAGCCACTACGGTACAACCTCCCAAAAAAACGACTTAAGAACCTGATAATGGAAGGACTATGTAGTTGACTCAACATATATACATGAAAATGTACATAAAGTCCGAACAAATAAAAAAACAATAGGGACTTCTCTCCAAATTTGAGAGCGTAGCAATCTCTCTTTCCATATCTGCTCGTGCCTCTTACTTCTTTCCCCATTTGTAGAAACAGCTGTAAGTCGACATTTGATGTTCAAATTCAGTCTGAACGTGATTACTTTATGGGAATAACAACTGTTCATTCACGCCAATAATTATTGGACTGCTCCCACTCTTTCGCAAATTCTAGACCATCTTCAAGATTAACTCACTTACTGGTCATGATTTTTCTGGCAACCAACCGTCTGACCATTCCCAGCAGTATTGGTATCACAGACATTCTGAACAGATGATTAAACCAGGGACCAATTACATATCGGCTCAGGACGTCACTTACCTGCAATGGCTCCACACTGCATATTTCCTAGTACTCTGTACCAAGAGACCTTTTCATATGGAACTTGCTACGCGTCAAATACACTCCTCGAATGATGCCGCGTATGCTAATACGAAAGATACCCGGAGCCTAGGTTTAAATACTGCCACTTGGACTATCGACTGTTTCAGCATCTATTTTCATCCAATACAACAAGTATCCCAAGCAGAATTGTTCTATATTACCTTTAAACGTAACATGGTGTCCTGAAGATGCATTGATATAGCCATACACGTTGGTTATATGACTGCGGATGCTTTACTGATACTCCAGATTGTATAAATGGGTCCCTTGTGGTTAGCAAAGCTAAAAACTGAGGATCATTCTAATTAATAAACTGTTATATTACTAATCAGCAAACTATGCGAATGGACTAACAACATCGGTTGGTTATAATGCAAACTTTGAACACTGAGCGCTTTTGATATTGATAGTGGAACATATCCATGTGATGGGAGATGAGAATCCATATCCGTCTCATGAATTTCAGTAAATTTTAATAAGATTATGCACACTAATGACCTGATATGTAAATTATTTAATACTAGATATCAGTTCGTTAACTTTCAAAAATTATGAATTTGACGGTGCTTGTAAGCTGGTATCCCTCATGTTACACCCGTTAAATGGAGACCATGTTTATCATCATCTAAGCCTTAACACTCTACGCACGCTGTAAAGTAATATTTTCTTTGTTTATTTTATAACTAGCAGGACCTTCGGCAGTTTATAATTGAGTTTAGTGACATTTAGTCAGTACCACTGAGGGCTCAAGTCTTGCAGATACTTTGAGATGTATCAACGTGATGAAGCCTGTAAACTGGCTTCTCTCATGTTAAAATCTTTTTAATATGGGGGGCGATAAGTGACGAAGAGGATCCTAGGATACACCGAAACGACCTATTGCAGCCGGGGTCCTGGTCAGCTGCGAGCGGTTTAAGCTTTAACCTGAAGAGGTGCGAGGAGACATATCTTCGCAAACCAGAGGCTATGAAAACCAGCTACACTCTTAACGAACATGGAATCGCCAAGGTGTCCACAGAGAATAACCTTGGACTAAACTTCTTTGACACATCGGATACTACTGGTATTTATAATGGAATGGCTGCAAAGGCGAATGCCCTAATGCACTTTCTGAGAGGGCAGCTTCGATTGTCAGCCATAGAATTATTCCTTATTGTATTTAAAACCTATGTTAGACAACACGTGGAGGTGTTCAACACGATAGCTCGCGGCACCAGAGAGAGACGCAAACACTCGAGAAAAGCTGGTTGTCGGGCTAACAGACAAAGCCTATGCGCAATGCTCCAGACAACTCAACACGTTCGCGCTACGCTACCGAAGAAAACGAAGTAACCTGATAACACCCTACAGAATCGTTCACATAGTGAACCACACGAGAAGGACCCTGTCGATCCGAAGCACACATTCCCTCGGGAATCCCACTTGCACGCCTCAGCATAGGACAAAGACGAAATAGAGGTCTAACTCCTTCTCGAACAAGGTATGTGCCTTATGGAACGATCTTCACGTTAGCCTTCAGGACAAAATGGGAGATATGGAGGAATATCCGTGAAGAAACCTGTGTGGAAGAACACTGGAAGTCTTTGAAAGAGATGTGGAAAGAAACCTGCATAACCGTATTAGGAAGGAAGAAGAAAGAAGATAAGGAATGGATCTCAACAGATACATGTAAGCTGACAGAGGAGGGGGAGGAAGATGGTGAAGCAGAAGACAAACCAGTGCAAGGATGCTCAACGACAAGAGGAACTTAGCTTAATGTATAAAACACCGGACAAAGAAGTGAAGAAGAGTGCGTGCAGAGACTAAAGACACTTCTACGAAGCCCTGGCAAGTGAAGTAGAACAGGCTGCAGGTAAGAGAGACCTGACAACATTGTAACAAATAACCAGGCTACTTACTGCCTGGGAAGAGATCAACGCAGAAGAAACCAATAAAAGGTGATGAGAGAAAGTTAATTACGAAAGAAGAGAAACAGAGAAAATAATGGGCCAACCACTTCAAAAGTTCTTGAATCGACCACCACCTGCACTTCGTCCAGAAATACCACCTACAGCCAAGGGACTACAAGTGGACATAAATCCTCCAACAAAAGTGCAAGTCTTGAACACCATAAATCTTCCGAAATGCTGGAAAGCAGTAGGACCAGATGGGATCCCTCCAGAAGCACTTAAAGCAGACGCAGAGACAACAGCAGACGTGCTCACACTGCTATTGCAGAGGGTCTGGAAGGAGGGGAAGGTGCCTGGCGGCTGGAAGAAGGGTTATTTCTTCAAACTCCTGAAGAAGGGAGACCTACATCATTGCAAGAACTGGCGCGGAATCACGCTCTACTTCCGTTCACCCAAAGCAAGCAAAATATTAAGCCGCATCATTCGGGAGAGGCTAAAGGATGAACTGGATTCAAAACTACGACCGGAACAAACAGGCTTCAGGAAGTACAAATCATGTGCGGACCAAGTCACAACGCTTCGCATCATCATAGAACAGAGTATGAAATAGCAGTCAACTCTACACCGCAACTTTATCGACTTTGAGAAGGCCTTTGACAGCGTCGACTGAGAGGTAATTTGGCAACTGCTTCGATACTACGGTATACCGCAAACATTTATCAGCCTCATTCAACAACTTTATGAAGACGACATATGACAGGTAATTCACAATGGGAAGCTCAGTGATGCTTTCGAAGTGAAGACAGGAGTGAAACAAGGTTGCCTACTATCCCGCATGATATTCCTGATTGTGGTCGACTGGATCATACAGCGAACGGTGAGGATCGAGAAGAGGGGGATACGCTGGCCAGACCGCAGAAAAGAACCTAGAAGACTTGGATTTCGCCGATGATTTGTGTCTGATGTCACACAAACTTGAAGATCTACAGGCGAAAACTAACAGGTTGGTAGAAGAGGCAGCGAAGACGGGACTTCAAGTGAATATGGAGAAGACAGGGGTGATGAAGATACCCCACCACCATCAACAACAACAACAAACTCTAATCACCATCAACGGGAGAATCCTAAAGGGAGTAACCTCCTTCATCTATCTAGGCAGCACTGTTCAACTACAGGTGGCGGCACAGTCGAGGATGTCAAAGTCAGAATCAGAAAAGCAAGACATGCGTTCATTAGCCTGAAACCAATGTGGAGATCTTCTGCACTCAGCATGTGGAACAAGATGCGGATTTTCAACACCAACGTCAAATCAGTGCTTCTGTATGGTTCAGAGACTTGGCACGTTACGAAACGGATTTCCAACAAACTACAGACATTCATCAACAACTGCTTACGTTCACTACTGAAGATCAGATGGCCAGAGAAAATAAGCAACAACGAACTCTGGGAACGAACCAACCAAGAACCTATCGCTCAACAAATATGCAGAAGGAAGTGGGGATGGATTGAGCATACACTGAGAAGGCCGATTGGGGCCCTTGAGTGGAACCCCTACGGGAAGCGACTAGTTGGGAGTCCGAGGGTGACATGGAGGAGATCGTGCGAGGAGGAAATGAGAGCTTCTGGGCTGTCGTGGAGCCAGGTTCAAAATATTTCAGAAAATAGAGCGCATTGGAGACGTGCTGCTGAAGCCCTATGTTCCATTAGGAACCGAAGGGACTAATAATAATGATAATAATAACAATAATAATAATAATAAAGCTAAAAGCAAGAAAACAGAGGGTATTTCCTCATCCACTGCAGGAGTAAACCGAACAACTGGAACCAAGCACTTAGAACTAGACGCGAGACATCAAAGCTACCAGTTTTCTACGCTCGCACTATCAATATTGGATATTGGATATTGGTCAATCATCAACTCTGAAGCTGTAAGCAAGACGACGCAAAGGCTTGCGTAACCGTCGAAGGAGTACAACCAAAGAAAAGGAAATGAGTCTCAATACTTAGAAGCAAGGGCACGAAAACTATTAATTTCCTCCATTCGCACTGTTGAGATTGAATGTTGGACGCTGAACAACCATTTGAACCATTTAAACTATTTGAAGGGGTGAATCGCCCAACAAGAACCAAGCTCCGAAAGGGAGAGATCAGTCACTATCAGTTTTCTACTCCAACACTGACGTTGGATGCTGTTATATGAGCCCTGTTTCAACAGTATGAAGTTGTTTGTTAGATTTTTCACGCGTCCTTGGTTCATTTTGAAGTTTGAGGTCACGTATGTCTACGATTGTTTCGAAAATCTTATGGTTTGGTCGGACAATGATGAGAATGGTGACAAATCCGCTAGACTAGTATGTCAGCGTTGTTCAAAATCATTTAAGTCTCATATAACCTTAAAACACCATACTGAAGGTCAGAGTTAACTTACAATTATCGTTTGATCAGTTTCTTATATCTAATTACTAAGACCACAATTTTTCCAGATGCATGTATAAGTCCCAATAAGAGAGGAATATTGAGTGCATTTTTTTTCTGAGTCGGATTCAACATACTAAGGACAAGTAACCTCAAGTAAACAATCCAGCGTCGGTAGTGAGACCAATATTGTTGAATTTGTGTCTGATTCCTTAAGTTTTGTTTTTTTCTTTCATACTCATTTAATGGCCTTAGAATTCTTTCCAATTTACTTGCTTGTAGCTTTGGAGGCTGTAACACTTCGCTGTGATATCGTTTTATTGCAAATTATAGCCCGGTTTTATTTGTGGGAACAACAGACCTGTTGATAGGACTGGTAAACACTTGGGAATTCCTGTACTTCTAGGTACCTGTAAGTATCGGATCGTTATTCCAGAAGTGCGAAAGGTTGGTTGGGTACTGCATACTATTATTTATTGACATACTTGTTATTCTTCGTTGTTTTGTTGGATCAAATTGTCCGACCTCTATTGGCATATGGGCTCCTATGTGGATGCCTCGATATTGCCTGAATGTTAATTATGATAATTTGGTTGGTTGTGGCTAGCAGGAGAACCCAGGATGCGCGTTTCGTCCTGTTTGGGACTCGTCAGCTGGATGTGCCCGCACCCCAGTGATGTTGTTCCCACTGAGACTCGAACCACGTACCCATCGCTTCAAATGCCAAGGCGTTATCCACTATGCCACAGAGGAACTATAGCCACTTCTTGTACATCGGGTGATGGTTATTACTGTTGTTGCCTGTGAAAAGTTAAACGATAATGGCCCGTATTTTAGGGTCAGAAGATGGACGAATAAACATGTATCCGATTGCTTCCGGTATATGCTGATGGTATGCCGTGTATGCTCACGTATCTACCCAGTATTCTCTTAAAATAGTCGAAAATAGGGGCATTGGTTACTTCTTTTGACAGAGCGCTTTATAACGTGGGTTCCCACAAGACTGTTGACCTGGAACTGATAATGTCTTATTAAGGTGGATTACGTGATTTATTATCCTATAGGCTATCGCTTTTTTTTATTCGATAGCCTGGGGTTAATGAGTTGAGTTGTGCGTACGTTTACCTGTTAGTTTGAAAAGTGATTTTGTTGCTCTTTTCTCCGCCTTTTCGAGAGTGTGACCAACTTTTGGTGGTCTGACTCATAATAGTCTAGGAATGCACTCACCGTGATAATATCTACTACAACTAGGCCCGAAAATGACCGCAGGTGATAATAATTTCTTTAAAAATGTCTGTAGCCTTGAGTTTCAGAGGTGTTACATCGTGGAGACCTTACCACGTGATAGTTTTTCAGTGAACCAGTTGTCAGTGTTCATCAACATGAGACGTGAGAATTCAGCAAATCAACCATTAGTGCTACACATGCTATGACAAGTTCATGTGAACCATTCACGAGAAAGGCACCTGGTAACGTTGTTAATAGACTAGTAAATATCAGTTTCACTCCCTTTTTTTATACATCTATGAGGAAGTTGACTGCACTATTTTAAAATACTTTAGAAAACTACTATGTTTAAGTGTTTTGTTTACTGAAAAATTCGATACTGGTCGTGTTATATTGAAAGCAATATAATGTTCGTATGTATTACTTGTCAGTTCATGAAGGTGGCATAGTAGTGCATCTAAATCTAGCTTATTGGGGGAAAGCCAATGATAATAAATGCTAAACAGTTTAAACTGTCAACAGTATTCAAGTTTGGATTACTGGTCATTGAAAACAAATCCAAAGAAAAACATTGTTGCGTAATAGGATATTTTATACTTAGCTGAGGAACACTAGTGTCTCCATCTTCACTAATAAGGCTTATTTTGAGAATTATTCCTAAGCTTTTAGTAGTGAATTTACGTTGTTTCAGAGGCCAAAGTGGAAAGACCTACTTTTATGTGTACAAATCTGTATTGATGTATCTTAGATGAGACGTTTAGCTGGTTAACCTAGGTATCCAGACTGTGAGTTGTTGTTTTGCATGGTGTCGCACTAGCTACTGGTCATCAGAATAAAGCATACTAATGCACAGCACTGCTTAGCAGTTTTTCCACTCCTGTTTTCCAACCTATAAACATTGAAAAGACTTCAGAATGTCGTTTGGAGTTTTATGAGGACAATGCAATCATCAATTGGCATAGCTTCCCGGGGTTAACTGTTTTCTCTCTGATTTCATTTCCTTTTTCTTTTCCTTAAATTTTAGTTTACTATACGGAAGTTTTATAAACAGATATTGTTCCTTAAAAGTGAATGAATTAACATAAGCCTCCAGTGCGAAAGGTGGAGCTAGCTGACTGTCAAGTATTTCAGTGCTTCAGGCGCAGACATAAATTCGCACAAGTCTTCGTTTGTTTCTCTAGTGAATATATTATTAATGCTGTGATGTGCAGTAAAAATACATTTAAACAGGTATATTATGTATTGCAGGGCTGTAGCACAGGGATCCATGCGTTTGATTTCGGCCGCTGGGTCATAGACTTAAATTCTGCATCACCTTTAAGAGTTTAAGCACTTATTGTTAACGTTAACTCCTTCCTCCCACCATTAGTATCACAACGTATTGTGTTGGTCGACGTGTTTCACTTTTGTCAAATATAAGATGCTTCGAGATTAGTCTCCTACTGCTGCTCCGAGTTTAAGGACAAAATGAAGTAAAATGCGTTAACCACCATTTGCTTGCTAAATTGCATCCATCAAAGCCGTTGACTACTGATGAAATCTCAGCTGATATATAAATGGCCTATTCGGAAATTGCTAAACTAACCTATCTCATTTACCGGTAAGATATCTGATCACGTATTTAAGGTCAAATAAGCTGATCCACAATCCACTCTGTCCTGTTATGCGACTGAGAAATGGTCACTGTGAAAGGATATGAAGAGATAACTAGTTTTTGACCATAAGTATCTCAGCATTGGTCACATATGGAGGAATCGGGGTGTAAGCAATGTTGAAGCTAGGTGAAGAGCACCATATAAAGAACTCCATCCAGTCGATAAGCTAGTGAACCTTCACTAACTTAAGTTGCTGGGACATGTATTGCCCATGCAAGGGAACACCTCTTGGATATTCAGTGTTAGTCGGAATAGGATTCAGTTGGGAAAAGGCTGTGGCTAAACCAAGACGTGCCGCTGGTCGGTGAAGTCTTTGATTGATGGTCTAAGCCGTGGTAGGAGGTGGAGACTGTTCGACTATGGTCCTCGAGTTAATGAGAATCAGTAGTTGGAGACCTTTACTGAAACAGATTAACATTGGTGGCGATGAGATATGCCCCCCAACATTAGCAGAAGTCTAGAAAGCGGTAGGTAACCTGAAGCGATGAAGGGCGGCAGGACCAAATGGACCAACTCCTGAGGTATACAAGGATGGCGGTAAGGTGCTTTAGTTAGGTTAACGGAAGTGTCAACCAGCATATGGGAATCAAATACGATTCCCTCTGACTAATCAAAATCACTGATTATCCTCTTGTGATAACCACAGAGGAATCACCCTGACGAACATAGTTTCCAAGATCCTAGGTTCCATAATTCTTCGACGCCTGAGTGCAGCTCGGGAACAGCGAGCCATGGAAAAACAACCTGGCTTTAGACCCAGCCGCGGGTGTATTATTATTATTATTATTATTAGTCCCTTCGGTTCCTAATGGAACATAGGGCTTCAGCAGCACGTCTCCAATGCGCTCTATTTTCTGAAATATTTTGAACCTGGCTCCACGACAGCCCAGAAGCTCTCATTTCCTCCTCGCACGATCTCCTCCATGTCACCCTCGGACTCCCAACTAGTCGCTTCCCGTAGGGTTCCACTCAAGGGCCCCAATCGGCCTTCTCAGTGTATGCTCAATCCATCCCCACTTCCTTCTGCATATTTGTTGAGCGATAGGTTCTTGGTTGGTTCGTTCCCAGAGTTCGTTGTTGCTTATTTTCTCTGGCCATCTGATCTTCAGTAGTGAACGTAAGCAGTTGTTGATGAATGTCTGTAGTTTGTTGGAAATCCGTTTCGTAACGTGCCAAGTCTCTGAACCATACAGAAGCACTGATTTGACGTTGGTGTTGAAAATCCGCATCTTGTTCCACATGCTGAGTGCAGAAGATCTCCACATTGGTTTCAGGCTAATGAACGCATGTCTTGCTTTTCTGATTCTGACTTTGACATCCTCGACTGTGCCGCCACCTGTAGTTGAAACAGTGCTGCCTAGATAGATGAAGGAGGTTACTCCCTTTAGGATTCTCCCGTTGATGGTGATTAGAGTTTGTTGTTGTTGTTGATGGTGGTGGGGTATCTTCATCACCCCTGTCTTCTCCATATTCACTTGAAGTCCCGTCTTCGCTGCCTCTTCTACCAACCTGTTAGTTTTCGCCTGTAGATCTTCAAGTTTGTGTGACATCAGACACAAATCATCGGCGAAATCCAAGTCTTCTAGGTTCTTTTCTGCGGTCTGGCCAGCGTATCCCCCTCTTCTCGATCCTCACCGTTCGCTGTATGATCCAGTCGACCACAATCAGGAATATCATGCGGGATAGTAGGCAACCTTGTTTCACTCCTGTCTTCACTTCAAAAGCGCCAATGAGCTATGTAGCACTTAAATTATTGATAAATTTCTCCCGATGACTACAGAATTTAGTTTTGCTTAAACTGCTTTTTCTCGCTGCCTGTTCTCTATTTAGTTTGTTTCAATCGGAATTCGAAACCAAGATTTGGCTGTGAAATATGCCGAAAAAGATTTCGAACTAATATTCAGTACACCCGTCATGTCTACTATGCGCATTCACAACGTACTTTTTTGTGTACAGAAAAAAGTGAGTTTCTTGCATTGTGAATGAGTTCATTTCTGTTGTTGTTTCATACAGGCGGTTAATTCATTACAAATACACCTAGATTTATATATATATATATATATATATATATATATATATATATATATATATATATATATCCCATAACCTGTCTGGTGATCTTGACCGGCTCAGTAATATCCATGTGTCGGGCTGCGTTCAGTAGTCGCAGCTACTCTTCGATGGCATTCGGGACACTTTCGGTGAACTGTGCAGCCAGAAACTGTTCCTGGGGGTTTCCATCCGAGGTGAGAAGTGCTCGTCGAAGTAGTTTTGTCAAGTGCACAGTTGGTCCCAGTGGGTGTTCGTGTATTCCAGGTCTCGTGCTCTGGACCTGCTGCATTACCCGCCGCCTGTCCGGTGGGCTGTGGAACTACACATCCAAGCGTTTATTATTGATGTATTGTACAGTAGGCATCAAGTATTGTACACTTTCCACTTAGACAGTCATTTGCACTATGTGTTCCATTCCCTCTTTTACTTTTATCTTGATTTGCTCTTAATGTGCCCACTCTATCTCTTGCTTTTCTGTGTGTGTAATCTTTTCCCATTGTTGGTAATTGCCTATGATTTCTGCCTCCCTCTCAACATATACTACTTATATCCATTGTTATCAGCAGCGCTTTACTTCAGGTATACCCCTAACTTGAATGGTACACATGTGTAACACGCTGATACAATAAAATTACAAACAAAGTTATGTGTTCAGAAGTAAAATTCCAAACTCTAAATATAAGGCGTAATCTTTAGTAACCGATGTCACGCAAAATGTCTCAAAACTCATTTCATTGTTCGGAACCTGGGATTTAAGTGGGTTGCGAAAGCAAAGGAAAGCTGTTAAACTGTGATAAAGGTAGTTACTGCTGGAAGTGAATAGATGTACAAATGATAGTACACCGCGGAAAATATGCAGTGTAAAGGGAAGGCATGCGACTGAGAGTGTAGTGGAAAAATGCACATTTATTAGATAAATTATCTGTGATGGCAGGATATGGAACTGAGATGCAGAAAATTACTGAGTGAAGAAATCAGAGAAACTGGATGGGAATAAATCTTAAATATCAGAAGTGGAAGCAGACGGATTTCCTCATTAGGATTCTGAGTACGCCAATAATAATTATTTTGTTCTATGAAAAGTCAGTTTTGAAATTTTTGGGTAATTCATGCATTTGAAGGAGTCTTCATCATGGACAGACAGACATTGTATAGCTGGCCAGTGAAAATCTGTGAGCACTGGACAGAATTTTAATTGCGTGTAGTTGGATTAAGAGGAACTAATTATCTTCAGAGATAACTATGGAGAACTGTTTGCTCTACCAAACTTAGTGTTTCTCCTGGAATGATTAATAACTGCCTCTTTTGTAGTTTCGACAACAACAATAACAACACACTGGAGTCGTTTGCGTTGGATGTTTGTAGTCTATCTGCTCAACCTATTTTTGCCCTCGGTCCTACTCATCTGCAAGGTGTATCTATAACGGACATTGCCTGAATGATCGCAGACTTTTTGGTTGACTTTTACGAGCATCAAAGACCAGATAGTTACATCAGCTGTCAACTCATTTAATTTGTGTAGACTTGAGTTCATGTGAACAGAAGCTAGCTACCGTCAATTATTCACTGGTCACATTTTAATGCCATTCTTTGCGTTCTGTTGTGTAAATACATCTTCCAAGTTGATTTTAGGACTTCAAAGCAATAGATTTGAAGGGAGAATTGATATTTTGCTTCATTTTATATGGTGAAAATGTGAGTGCTTAGGCGAAACTAATTAGTGCGTACTGATAACATCATCATACTTTACAACAATTTGCGTGTAGAGTGAAGTGAAACTTTGGATCAATATGCTGTTTAGACATGTGAATTTAAGCCAAGTAAACTGACTTCACTAAGTTGCACAAGAGGTATATTTGTGCACTTCATTGTAATCTCCAGACAATTGGTGGTGCTTGATCGTCGAGTTTATCATCATCCTTCAAAGACATTAGTTTGCTTCCTGACCGTTCATATAGACTTAGTATGAAATAAAACTGAAGCGGTGAACTATGTGTTAATTTTTTTAAGTTTATAAGTCTCAAATGTTTTTCAAGATAATCAACTGTTGCGTCTTCATGTCGTTGCACAAGCAAGTATTATCCCGTCGTTGATTGTTCAGAATTGATCGATCTCTATTGGCATATAGGCTCCTGTGTGGATGCCTCGATGTTGCCTGTGCCTCAATTAAGTATAGTAATGATGGATAGTGGCTGGCAGTGGGATTCAGGATGCGCGTTTCGCCCTATTTGGAACTCGTCGGTTGGATGAGCCTGTTTCCTAGTGAGCTTCGTTTTCTCCGCTAGGACTCGCCCTTTTCTGTGTTTGCTGATCAGTGTTTCACTGAAAAGCTAATCTGATCCAGTAGCTGTAGAGCCTTTGTAAACATGAAGCATAAGTCAAAACTGAAAAAAACGATTCTCATTCATTATTCACACATATGCATCTTCATTAATTTTACATAACATTGATCAGTCATATAATGGGATCAGTGATTGTACTCAACAATGAATGATATAAATGACAGTGATGAGAAATGTACTGGCAAAAACTGAGTGAACAATGTAGCACTGAAAGATCAGATTTGAGAGTGAAATGCTGAGACCTTCGACTTAGTTTTCCGAATAGCTACGAGTAAGTGTGGTCCATGAGGGGAAGGAAGACTGGGATGATGCATCATTTAGCTAATCTGGATAACTGTGATAAAATGTTTACGTCCCAATGATGGTTAAGATGCCAGTTTGAAATTTTTCGGTAATTCATGTATTTGAAGGAGTCTTCATCATGGACAGACAGACATTGTATAGCTGGCCAGTGAAAATCTGTGAGCACTGGACAGAATTTTAATTGCAGTGTGGAAATTCTGAGAAACGTTCACCCATAACCTGATGTTGAACTGATCCCAGGATTATTAGATCTCAGGGTAGGCACGTTGCCAGCTAGTCGTGGTGTCGGAATTTGGTGGCTCATGCTCTCGGGATTCTTGGTTATATTTACCGTTAAGCATTGGAGAATAGCGTACATACATACGTACACACATACATACTAACATACATACATGCATACTAGGTTGAGGAAATGAGGATGGTTCAGATGTTTGACTGTTGTTGCCTTCGTAGCATTGACTGTGTCATGGTGTCACCGCGTCAGTAATGTAGAGTATTCAGTGTAGAGTTTTAGGGAGGAGAGAAAGTCTGTTGATGGAGTTGTAAACCTTCATCGGCCCACGTGTTACACATACCTAGTCACTATCTGTCTGGGAAAATGTTGGTTGAAGTGAAATCAGACTGGAAAGTGTTAAAGGTAGTGACCAGACGAAGACATGGAATGAGTCCGTGAAGTGTCTGACTTTTGATGTTAGCCGTGTAGGGGAGTGTGTATACTTGGTGGTTGACGTTATCTTTGGCGTGACAAGAGAAACCGGTAATTGGAGAGTGTACGTGATATAGTTGAGAATCGATCTTAATGCTGCATATGTAAGGATACAATATTCACGTTTTAATCGTCATCTTGGATTTCAGTATTTACTCATTCCTTGCTCTATCTTGATGACTTTGTAACACTTTTGACTGGTTTCTACTTTATTTGTTTTTGGTTCACCTTAGTGGGTTGTTGATTGATGTGGTGGTATGAGATATCCAATCGGAACTGCTATGTAGTAATACTAGGCTTGCTTTTGATTTTTTCTGTACGTTTGTCTTGCAGTGGGATGCTATCTACATGTTGCAGCTTTCGCATAGATGTTGATCCTTAGATGCACATTAACGTATGGTGGTTTGGTACAAATTAATAAGTATATAAATTGTATGTACCACTATTGGTTTCTGTTTGACGCCCATCAGGCATTTAGTTGCATTTTCCAGTTAACTGCAAGAAAACTCTCTAAATACATTTCCAGAGATATGAATAAAAACGTATTTTGCCTTTTGTAAATACAAGATGATGTGAACCAGTACAAAATTAGCTGGGGTTTTAGTTGTTTGGAATAGACATGAGTATAGACGCTCAACATGATCATGTGTCTTCATTCATGCCGGACAAGTGTACATTAGATTATCTGTTATTTATCGTTCACTGTTGACATCTAATCAGAGCGCTTATGGGTGTTTGGTGCGTCGCATTTTCGAAGCAGTTTAATCATCATTATGAACTACTAACTCTTATGGATTGTTTGGATAGTAAATTGTTGCTCGATTCCTACACACCTTTTGGTAGTAGCCTGATTTCGACCAATTTTGCTATTTATCGACTTCAGTTTAATAGTACAAACCATGAACAAGTGGATTACTTATGTACTGACTCAAATATTTAAGGATAACCAGGACTGTTTTTATTGGTGGGTTGTGTGATCGATATTTGGAACTACATAGAGCTAATACATTAAAGTTAATAGTTCACTGTAGCATATATAGCAACCTAGTATAGTCAGTGTTTCTGTTGAAAATCCATGAAATATCTCTTGTAGGATTTTCATATTTATTCCATACACTCGGTCGAGACTAAAAATACCAATCGTTGGAACCAATCCTAGTTGTTTTAAGTCGATGTGATCTTTTTTAAGTGTCGATCCGTGAGTTTGGTTCTGTGCACTGTCAATATTAAGTATAGAGAACACTGTTATATAATCTTAAATTTGAATACTTATGTCATCCATCATCCTTTTGCATTCTAAAGTTTTGGTTGACTCGTTGCATGTGGTGAGAACTGCTTCATCAAAATTTAGCCACCTAATTTCAGTTATCACACTAGACACTTAAGTTCTCAGAATATTCATCGGCTTTCAACACTCCAATATATACATAAAGTTCATGAAGTTATTTTAAATTATGAAATCACTCAAAATTGGTATCATATCTCACCTGTTTTGCCGTCAGAATATTCATTCACATAATACTGGATCTCTTTTTGGTTCTATTTTTTAAAAGATTGTTATCACAGATTAACATATCAAGTTTTTCATCGTTATTGTTTTCTTATTATTACTCGTATCTGTCAAAGTGGTCATTTTATGTATAGCAATTTACGTCAGGGAGATTTCGTAACGTAAAAAGTGACGTGAATAAGGTATGCTTTCTGTATTTTCAGCCTCTTGCTCTCAAAGACTGTTCTAACTTAGCTAAAGGAAGGATGGAAGAAGGATTTCACAAATCCAGGTCAAGCAAGACATGAAAAGAAACTGCTGTTTCTAACTGTTACTCTGATCATGGAACGAAATGTAAACTAATAAGATTGGTTTCACAGTTGATGAAAGATGTCAGATTAGTAGATCGGATTGTTTCTCATGACGCGACTGTACTGTACAGAAACATTTTCCCTTTGATTGTTAACATTCGAGAGATCTCTCCCTACCCCTTCTTAATCTGTACCTTATTCCTCTTAGTATTCTCCAGCTAGTGAGATATTTCGAAATGCAACATATTTTTCTCGAAACCTTAGTTAGTCCTTTTGGAAAAATTGGTCAAAACTGGGAAGAAAAAGCACTCCATTGCACTTTAGTAAAGTTATATCATTAAGGACTCAGTAAACCATCTCATCTTAATAATAATATACAAATGTATGTGACAAATGCATTGCATTTGTGTCTGGCGATAATTCTCTACGTTTTGTTGATAAAACTTCTCCCAGATTTGTTAATGCTGTCGACAGTGCATTTGAAAGGGAATTTTTTAGTTAGATGTGAGGTAAAAAATGTGAAAGCATCTCTTCTCACCATTTTGAAATAAAACATTTCTAAAATTCCTCTTTAGGAAACGTCATGAGTTAATTCAATCAGATTATGAAACTGTAGATGTCACTACGTCCTACGAACTTGAAAGTGTAACCGTCTAATCAAACATTGGATTCCACTCTACAATTTTTTTCATGTTAATGCAGTAAGCAATGAACCACACGTATTTTGTCAGGACTGGTGATACTTGGTTGCCCAAACCTCGGTATGTGAACCTGGATTCGAATCCTTGACCCATCACTTGGAAATCTAGTACCTAGACCGATAAGACACAACTCCACTTCAACAACTGAATAACAAACCAGTTCTTCCCAGTTATTTGCTTAAAGATGGGTTTCTCGAAGTGTTTATGTGGAGCTATAACTACTGGAGGGTCGACCAAGTCGAATATGAAGACAATTACTTACCTAGAGCGTTTAGTGATGGTCATGCTGTTTCATATATTGATGAAGTTTTAATGCAGGACGGAATAATTGCTATAAAGTAGTTAAATGGTAACATCCTGAGTTTGAATCCACTTCACGTTTTTCTCGCGCACCGGCAAGAAGCCATAAACTAGGACGAAACTAGAACAGCTCTTCAGCTGTTGTTGATCTGTGTTGAATACTTTAATGGATTGTGTGCTAACTGTTCAATTGAGTATTCTGGGAAGTTATCATCCTAAGAACTGAACAGTTAACGAGGAGTTGACTTTTTCCCAAAGTGCAATCACTGGTTTGCGCGTAAGCTTTTTTTCTCGCCTCTCGAATTCTGTTACTGACTAAATACAAACAAATAGAAAACATTTATTTCCAGTTTATTATATACTTCAAAGTGTCAGATTTCGTGCAAATATCAATTTCCATAGATTACTAATATCTTCTTTAAAATTTTAGACTGTGGTCGAGCATTCTTGTCCAACTCACATCTTATCACTCATATGACAACTCATACTTCTGACAGACCCTACCCTTGTCCAGTCCAAGGGTGTTCATATCAAGCTCGTACAGCCGGTCGACTTGCCCAACATAAAATTATTCACGGTCAAGGTATGTGGATATAATTTTACTATTTTATAAATGTTTTTCGTTCTATTATATTTACATTTTGTGTCCTTATTCGTAAATGAACTACCTAAAAGTTCAGATTATGCTTCGTAACGGTGGATACGAAGGGGAATTCGGACAATAAAAAATCTCAAGTTATTTATATCAATGTAGCAGAAAACTAACTGAGGAGGGCTTATTCAGCAAACAGATGATTCAGCTTTCACTTTTACATTTTTCTGCTTACGGGACGTGATGTAAATTTGATTTAACACTTTACAACTCTTTAGGGGAGACATTTAACTTCTGTCGCTCAAGAATAGTTTGTCTCCTACGAGAATTAACAAACACAACGGGTTTTTCGTCAGTTAAATTTAGTCGAAGTTGTTATATTTCATCAAATCAGAGCTTCATTTAAAAGAGGCATATTGATTGAAGGAAGTCGTTCATATTATGTGCGTAACACTGAATGAAGTATTAGGCACACTCATCCATACAAAATGATATTGATTAGCATAACGTTTAGCTCGACAGTTGTCCAGAAATTTCTTATACACCCTGATTTCACAGTTGCGGAAACTTTGAAATTCCATGGTGAACATTTTAGTGGAAAAGATAGTTTTATTCCAATAATCTGGAAACCTGAAAATTCTGTCCAGTGGGTGACTTTTGAGTAGTAGTGTTAATTTATAGTGTTACTTAGTGTGGGAACACCATTGTTCATCAAGAGGAAGGTATATCCAGCTCACGAGTCCCAAACAGGACGAGACGCACATCGTGGATTCCACCACTGGCCACCATTCAGCACTAATAACACTATTAACTCTTCGGTTTTGAAAGTTTTAGTTGTTTTATCACCAGTACTTATGCTTTTATTGACCCTCTTCCTAACATACGCTTCTGAGGTTAAAATGCATGTTCATTGCATAAAATAATGACAGTCTGGTTTACCTGAGCATAAGGGAACAGTTTGAATCCTAATACACTTAGTAGAAAGGAATGCCTAATATTCCAACCAAACTGTACAGTATTTCTAAAATAACACACAGGAATAACTGATATACATATACCGACAAATAAACTGAATTTCCCACTCATATTGATTTTCTCTCACGTATTCACATATGCACACACATTAACATCTGCTTCTTGAATTCATGGACTAATAACTAAGAGAGACTTGCGTAAGCTGCTTCGATTTTGTGACTCTTACTGATGTTGCTGTAGAAAGCAAATCAAGTGTTTCTTATCTTGGGTTGAGTTTTTCTTCTGATCTTTTTTGGTCGTCTTACATCTTGTTGATCTCCAAGGAAATCTTTCGTTCAGAGCATTACATGAAGAAGCTGGAAATGTATGGTATATCTCAACCCCTACTTAAAAAAATTTATTTTACCTATTCTTCTTTCCTGGCCTGCTAAAAAAGTACAATGTATTGCATAGGTCGTTGAGAACTATCAGTAGAGTAAATACCTCTAATCCAACTAATCAACAATGCAGGCAACCATCTAGAATTCTTTTATCTGATATTGGGCATCCACTTTATTCAAAGCTCTCTCCTAATACCTACACCTATGGGGGACAAGAAGAATTATATTTTACTCTGTGTTCGTACGGCTAAATATAGGAATTCGACTATGCTTCGCTGAGCACGCACGTTATGTGAGGAAAAAAGTGTTAAAACAGAGGTCACTTATCAACTTAGTAATGATAAATAGTCAGCCTTTCTAATATTTTAATTCGTAATTTTCCTCGTTAATAATATTATTCACGTAATGATGTAGCCTGCCTGGTAGCTAACAGTGAAATCTAGGACTCTTGCTCCAGATGTACTTGCACCCCAGTGAGTGATGTCGTTCCCACTGAAGCTCTAATCCAGTACCCATCGCTTCAAATGCCAAATCGTTATCCACTGGGGCACGAAAGCCACCTCTTGGGCAGCGGGTATCAATTGTTGTTTTATTAAGCTTGTAATCTCCTGTTACTATACTGGGTAGAATCGCCTGACGTTTTTTGGCAGACGGGCTCTAATACGGAGGCCTTGATACTGCCCGATTACTTACTGTATTGAAATCTGCTTTACATAGTTTAAATTGCTACAATTAACACTATTCAGAATGTTGTAAAGGAGTATTTTTTGTTGTTGTGGTAGTACACGCTGAAAATTCCAAATTGCATCAAAATTGTTTGGAATAAGGTGATTATTATTAGCATTATTATCGTTATTACTACTATTACTATCAGTAATAATAACAGTAATATTATGATCCTTGTTATTAATGACGATAACCTTTAGTCCCATCTTGTTCACATGTATGGACAAATTGATCTAATTGGTTTCCACTTACTACATAAATATGCAATAACTTGTACAGGTTTTATTCTTTGAAGAATTGGCTTGTATAAAATCATAAAACTTTAAAAATTCAACTACTCAATTAATTGGGATTTGAGATATATATTTCCTGTAAAAAGGCACCTGTTTAGTGCTCATCTTGTTCATCTGTATGAGGACAATTTTTTGATTCTTAAGTTTACAAATACATAACTTATTTACTGTAATTCCTAGATACTGTAATAAAATCCTTGAATGAACAGTTGTATACTTTCTAAACTCCTTTCAGAATTTAATAATTTTCTCTAATTCTTTTATGTCTAATGATGGTATACTACTGAATACCTTTGTTATCAGTAAGTCACCAGTCGGTTAATTTTACTCGTGGTTTCATAGCTGACTATCGGAGAAACGAATATGAAAGAAGCACGATTTGATGAAATCATAAACTTCAGTACCACTCGTCGACTGGATATTTTGCATACTTGGTTATATATACCGTTAAGCAATGCAGAATAACGTACATACACACATATTAAATCCTGCTTTTTTCACATTCGTTGCTTGTTTTAAATTTGTGTGGGGAAACAAATGTTTTCAATGTCAGAGAATTTTGTTTAATGTGACACTATCTTTTTTATAAACTGGAGTAAATGTAGGTAGTTTACGTAAATACGTACAATACTGATCAGAGGAGCGTTTTACCTGCGTACGTCTTGAAATTCTAATAATTCTAATATACAGACTAAGACATTTTTATTACTTTATGCTTACACATCATATTAAAAGTCCAGCTTTGGTTCACCATAATGTACCGCATTCTTATAGACAACTTGAATCCTTTGTCTTAAGGGCAACTTATATGAATCCATCGTGTTGATGATATGCTTGTTAGTGTGATATCAAGTTAACGGAAAGTAATTTTCAATATGTCGTACAGATATCCTTAGTGTTAACCAGGCTTTTCTTGTTTCGCGGACACAATGGTGCATAATTTTTATTTGTCGCAAGAAGAAGCAAACTATGGACGATACCGTGGTAATGTAGTTTGCAAGTGTCAATTACCTAAGGGATACAATTTTTTAGTTTAATCTTTTGGTTGTACTGAAAATTAAGTCAGCCTAACCAAATTCTCTAGCAGTAGTATCTCAGACAAACGTAATTCTTATAGTGTTGGTAAAATGAAGTCACGTTTCTACAAGGATCCGGTTCAAATATGAGTTCAATGCATATGATTTCGAACTATGTTGGTCTTTTTCTCCACTTAGTGTTTGCGCTTTGAGTAAAAAAAAATACACTTATTCTCTTAAAATACTATTTTTATTCATCAATCTATACTCATTTTGATAAGCTCAGGTTTTGCTTATGTGTACGAAAGCAAATAACTAAGTATGATTTCTCTTTACTTCTACTGCAGGTAATATGGTTAGCTTTATGGACCTAGTTCAAGTCCTCGAGGCGTCGATCGGCCTTCACGAACTCACGCCATTTATGACGCCACCGTCGTATTCGATTGTCTACCAAGGGTTGAGGTTAGTGAGCTGCGGTTCACTGTGCTCTACTCTAAAGGATATGAAACACGCCAATTGAAAGGGTTAACGAAATGAGGATGCTTCACGTGTTCTACCATGGTTACTGTCGTAGCAATGGCTGTATGTCCTAGTGTCATAGTGTTAGTAGTTTAGGAATCATTTATAAAGTTTTAGGGAGGAGAGAAAGTCTGTTGATGGAGTTGTAAACCTTCATCGGCCCACGTGTTACACATACCTAGTCACTATCTGTCTGGAAAATGTTGGTTGAAGTGAAATCAGACTGGAAAGTGTTAAAGGTAGTGACCAGACGAAGACATGGAATGAGTCCGTGAAGTGTCTGACTTTTGATGTTAGCCGTGTAGGGGAGTGTGTATACTTGGTGGTTGACGTTATCTTTGGCGTGACAAGAGAAACCGGTAATTGGAGAGTGTACGTGATATAGTTGAGAATCGATCTTAATGCTGCATATGTAAGGATACAATATTCACGTTTTAATCGTCATCTTGATTTCAGTATTTACTCATTCCTTGCTCTATCTTGATGACTTTGTAACACTTTTGACTGGTTTCTACTTTATTTGTTTTTGGTTCACCTTAGTGGGTTGTTGATTGATGTGGTGGTATGAGATGTGCAACTTGGACTGGTAGGCAGTAATGCCAAGTCTTATATTGAAAGCATCCATCTAACGAAGCTCATCTAATTTGTGTGTAGTCCAGCGATTGCTGACTACGACCTCGTAAGGGCGATTTTACCGAAGTACGTTTTGTTATTATTTGGAGGACTTGTATATGCTGTGGGCGCTAACGATGCACAGAGATCGACTGTCAACCACGATAATTCAACAAATTTCTAGTTGACTTCCGACCTGACTAATTAATGGAGAATACACGATGGACGTGTAGAAGCGTGTATCAGGGTCGAAGGACCGAAACTCCAAACAAAGGAAATGCAGCTAATATATAAGTAGTTCACTGTTTAAAGTAATAATATTGATTGGCTGATCCAGCGTCTATCTGTCTAACTGTAGACGTGTGAACAAAGTATATTTTGATTGGTCTCTCTCCAGACTTGGCTTTTCTCTCTATCCCCATATGAAGATCAGTAGCAATGTGTTATGCCAAACTAGGGCCTCACAACGCTTTTACACACAATGTTTACTTAATGTTCCATTCTGAGGTGCACAAACGTTTACAAAATTCTGCATTTTCCTAAATGATATCTTCTGTCTGTTCGACTCTAACATAGCAAAACACAAATAGGCATAATGGATTAATTATTAAAGTTGATTCTCTCCAACTCTTAATTTTCATTTGGTCCAATCTTCCCTTTTTCATACCTATGTTAACTGGATTGCTTTTGTCTCTTTTTTACAATTCTGAAAACAAGTTGTTCATAACCATTTAAGGATATTATTTTTAGCTACTTTTTGCACGAAGTAATTGGCGCTAAATTAAACCGATTGTGACGATGCTTCTGCTTAAAAGCTGATTACTTACAAAGTCTGTATCTTTAACATTGTCATATAAGTCACTTTCGGGCGTACACTGAGGCATATCAATCTTCAAACTTCCGAGCACCACGCATCATGGTTGAGTAAAGGATGAATTAGAACAATAAAGAGTTCTAGTATTACTTTGTACACCTCTTCCCCTCTTGTTTCTATAAATATTCATTTTTCTCTATTACTTAACTATTTATGACTAAACACTCGTCAAAAGTTGTTAGTTCTCGTAGTATTAACGTTTAGTAAGTTGGTTTAATGAAAGGGTGATTTCTTTTCAAACTTCGATTTCGCGTGATTCATTAATGTCATGGTAAAACATACAAAAGAGAGACGTGAAGTTACTACTGGTGTTCGTAGAATGCCTGAGATTTTGTTGAGATTTCTTAAGAAATAAATTGTTACTAACTTTCAGTCGCAGAATTATTTATTATTATTATTTGTCCCTTGGGTTCCTAGTGGAACATAGGGCTTCAGAGACACGTCTCCATTTCACTCTCTCCTCTACAGTCTTTCCAAACTCACTCCACCACTGTCCACAACCTATCATTTCTTCCTCACACAATCCTCCTCCGTGTCACCCTCACCTCGGACGCCCAACTCGTCGTTTCCCTTTTGAGTTCCACTCGAAGACCTGACCTGACGCGTGATGTCCCTGAATGGTCTTCTCAGTGTATGCCCAATCCAATCCATCTCCATTTTCCTGTACTGCATATTTATTGGGTGGCGACGGCTGTTGATGTATGTCTGTAGTTTGTTGGAAATGCTTTTCGTAACGCACCATGTCTCTGAACCATCACACTGAAGCACTGGCTTGACTAAATTATTGTTAAATATCCGGATCTTGTTCACGCTTTATGCTAAGTGCAGTGGAGGGCAGTATTTCTCCACACTGATTTCAGAATAATGAAGGTCTGTCTTGCTTTCCAATCCTGGCTTTGACGTCCTCATCTGTGCCGCTGCCTGTAGTTGAAACAATGCTGCTTAGGTAGGTGAAGGAGACAACTTCCTTTAGATTTCTCCCGTTAGTAGTGATTCGTGTTTGTTGTTGTTGTTGGTGGTTGGGTTTCTTCATCGCCTCTGTCTTCTCTACATTCATTTGAAGTCCCGTTTTCGCTGCCTCGCCTCTTCCGCCAACTTGTTAGTTTTCGCCTGTAGTTCTCCGAGTTTGTGCGACAAGACATTAGACATAAATTGTCGTCGGCGAAATTCAAATTTTCTAGGGTCTTTACATCGGTCTAACAGCGTATGCCTGTCTTCTCACTCTTCATGGTTTCTTGGATGATCCAGTCCACCACGATCAGGAAGATCATGGGTGATAGTAGGCAGCCTTGTCTTACTCCTGTCTCCACTTCAAAGGCATCGTTGAGGTTTCCATTGTGGATCACTTGACATGCAGCATTACATAGCATATAGCTGTTTAATGAAGTTGATAAAGGTTTGTGTCATTAAAGCCGTAGTGTTGAAGCAGCTGCCTGCCACATTACTTCTCGGTCGACGCTGTCGAAGAAAATTTTTTTCAAAATCGCTGAAGTTGAGGTTGAGTTGAGTTGACTGCCATTCTATGCTGTGTTCTGTGATGATGCTTAGCTTTGCAATTTGATCCGCACATGATTTGTTTTTCCTGAAGCCAGTCAACCTTTTCCGGTCGTAACTTTAAATCCAGAGCATTTTTCAGTCTCTGTAGGATGACGTGGCCTGATATTTTTCTTGGGGGTTGACAGGAGCATGATTCCGTGTCAGTTCCTGCAAAGACTTAGGTCTCCCTTCTTTGGGAGTTTGACAAGGTAACCCTTCTTCCAATCAATCGCCAGGTACCTTTCCTTCCTTCTTTCCTTCCAAACCTTCTGCAATAGCGGTGTGAATATATCCGCTGTTGTCCTTGCGTCTGTTTTCAGTGCTTCTGAAAGAATCCCATCTGGTTCTACTGCATTCCCAGATTTCAGCAACTTTATGGACTTCTGGTTTTGTCGGAGGGTTTATGTTCACTGATAGCTCTGTGGCTGGACTGCTGGTGGTATTTCTGGACGAGTTACAGGTGGTGGTGGTCGATTCAAGAGTTTTTTGAAGTGGTCAGCCCATCGTTTCCTTTGTGTCTCCTCTTTGATGGTAACTAAGTTTCCTTGACTATGTTTCATTGGCTTCCCAGATGCTTGCCTGGTTATTTGATATAATGTTGTCAGGTCTCTACTACCTGCAGCATGTTCTGCATCAGTTGCAAGTGTGTCGTAGAAGTGTCTTTCGTCTTTGCACGCACTCCTCTTATTTATCAAGTATAGTGTTTTATAGGTTGTGTTCAGTTCCTCTTTTCGTTGTTCATCACTTCACTGCACTGCGCTGGTTCATCTTCTGCTTCACCATCTTTTTCCTTCTCTATCAGCTCCCATATGTCCGTCGAGATTCATTCATTCTTTTGTTTCTTCTTCCTTCCTAATATGGTTATGCAGGTTTCCTTCCACGTCGCTTCCATAGAGTTCCAGGGTTCTTCCACGCAGATTTCCTTGGGGATGTTGCCCAATGTCTCCCACTTTTTCCTGATGGCTGACGTGAAGGTGTGCTATGTAGTTTCGTCCTTCAGTTCACTTTCTGTTCTGGGTGTTCAACTTGAACTTGAACTGTGGTTCAAGTGGAACCAGCTTCTTCTTCGAAGGCTTTCAACTTGATTTTGAAGGTAGGTTGCTTGCATTAGATAGTGGTGTGAACCTACATCTGCTGCTCTTCTTCATCTCATCTTGTGTCCAGTAGGCTGCGTCTCCACTTTCTTCACACTGAGATGAAGTCGATGTGATTTTAAGTGTGTCCTGTTGTCTGGTGAAATCAAATCGATGTCGCCACCTTTTGAATATGCTTGTGTTTGTACACACTGCCTCACCTCGAATCACCAAATCGTTGAACGCACAGAAATCTGCAAACAGTTCTCCGTTCTCATTCTTCATTTCACCGAGTGCTTCTCAATCCATGATGAGTTCTCTTCCTGTGTTGTCCACTCCTCGTTTGGCATTCATGTCACCATTAGAAATTTGGATATCGCCAACTGAGGTCTTGTCCAGTGTTGATTGCAGTTGTCTGTGGAATTCCTCCTTCTTCTCTTCATCTGCTTGATTATTTGTAGGTGCGTAGTGTAGTGTAGTGTGGTGTAGCGTAGAGTAGCATTGTGATTGTGATTGTGAATTTCCTCCCTTTTAAGTTGACTCTTGCTGTCATGATGCTGATGCTGGAGGAGATTGGTTGCCAGTGCTTGGAGCCTTTGATGCTGTTGAGGACATGATGATAGCCACTGGGAAACTCAGTGTGCTCGTGGTTGTTGTGTCGTCTGGGTGACAATATCGGAGTAGATTATTGACTTCTCTCTGAATGATAGTTTGAAGAGTCGACTTCCATTCCATCTGCAGATTCCTAGCACTTCTATTCTCTGCCATATCTTCTCATCTCGTTTGCAATCTGGACCGCCTTGCTAGCTCCTAACACTATGAGGACATTTTATATCCCCATGTTTACTTTTGCTTTCATCGAGAGAAGACACATTGGCCAATTGACTTCCCGAAGGCTTTCACCAACTGGTGTCACTTCGTCTCCCTGATTTCAGCGAAGAGTAAGTTTGCTTTTATTTTTTTTGTATTTCCTGTGTGCTTTGACATTCACCCAGCGATTGAATTGATTTTCCGGTGTAGGGCCCCCTATCCCTATGCCCAACCTTCCCTGTTTACCGGGGCTTAGGACCGGCTAGTAAACTAATGAATTGGTTAACTAGGCGAGGTTCGGAATTATTTAGTTGTATCGATAATTATTACTTTTAAAGTTTATGTATCCACTCGATGCAAGTACACTCTTCAGTGTTAAGTTGTGTTACTAAAAGTAGTAAATGCTAGGAAGTGTAAGGAAATTGCATATACACTCCGATTGACTTCTTTTCATTGTCACACTTTTTGAAATCCCCAGAAGTCGCGTGCATTTTAAAGGATATTTTGGATCTCTTAATCTCATCACCTTGCCGCAGGTGATTGTGATGTTGGTTATGTATCAGTTTGTTGATATCAATTCATGAATAACCGAATTCCTAAAAAATATCAATAATAGTTTGGTATAGTTTTACTCGGTCAGGTTCTCATCAGTGGTCTATAAATTTGAATCACAATTTATATAATTGTGGTAAGAATTTTACTCAGTTCAATCCAAGGAGGAGAATGTAATCGGTAGGAAAAGGATAGACAACCATGACCTCTTAGAAAGTTCCAAACGAACTTCCTTTAAAATTTGACTCTGTACAGTTTTGTGTTTTATAGCCTAAGTAACTCATTACAGACACTATGAGGTGTTTATTGCATCTGATGATTGGTGACTTTAATCCCCTGATTACCGGTATTATCATTTCACTACTTCACATGAAGTTATAGTTCAATTCAATTGCTGACTTTCTTGGTTTGATTACTTTTTCCAGGTCGTCGTTTTTCTTGCGATTATTGTGACTACAGCGCTACCACTTCTTCTAATCTTCGACGTCATGCCCGTATCCACGCTGGAGCCAGACCATATTTATGTCCTCATTGTCCTCATCGTACCAGCGAGCTAGATGCTCTTAAAAAGCACGTATTGGACTCTGGGAGACATCCGGGTTTACCTCTGTATGTATGCCCGTGGTGCAGGTCGGAATCGAGCAAAGTTTGCGTTGGTTTTAACGCTTCAAGTCTCGCATGGAGACATTTACTAAGTGAGCACTCGAGTGAGATTATGAAACCGCAAACGTTGAGTCGAAAGGATCGATTATCTGAGAAGTCTCTTTCTGAGGTAAGGGTCTCTATATATTCTCTCGTTTTTACCAGAATATTGCATTGCATTTCTCAGTACTTTCTCAGCTGTGTTTGGGTAAAATAAACACGTTTCGCTGAACCGTAGGGTTCTATGATCTTCAGGCTCTTACGAAGAATGTTGGTCACTGTCTGTGAATGAATGTCATGTGGTACGTAGTTAGATATTCTAGGAATCACTTTTTGTGGTAGTAATTACCCCAAAGTGAATTGAGCAGGACTGTTAGGAAATGTTGAACATATCTATCCACTGATTCAGTCAGTCAATATCAAAATGGTACCTGGCAATACCACATAGTGGTCCAAGTTGACAGACTTCAAATCAGCAAATCAAGGTACTTCAATACATCGTACCTATCATAGATCTAGTATACTGGAGACTACCACAAATTTTTTCAGATGCAAATAGTGTTGACCCTCTGTTTACTTTGGTTCCACCCTTGATTGCAATCTGTAAAGTGCCTAAAGGCTATGATTGTAGTCTTGAGACCAGCTGACTGAAAATCAGTCACAATAGCGCAAACACATCTAAGACTTATTTTTGTTAAAGTCATGAAACAAACTAACTAGGGTGATGGGAGAGAGTACTGAAGATAAATTGGATGTAGAAGAGTAAATGCATACCGGACCATTTGCATAATTTTGATCGCTGTCATCAGAGATATCCGGTGATTGACTCATAACATTTCAAGTGGCCAGGTCTCTGTATGACCCACACCAATAGCCGGCAGCTTTGTGAATCGATTCCATATTTCGGTCTAGGCATTCTTAGCCATCTCCTACCTCAGTTAGTTCTCAGTCAACATTTTATTTTAGGATAGACGGTGACTGTTTGCGTTACAAATGCTACATCCACGAATATTGGTACAAGTTAACGACCCTATCGACTATCCTACAATGTAGTAAAAAGTACTCAGCGATAGCGCAGTATATTTAATTTTTTCAAGGTTTGTCACTAGTGTCACAGATAGCGTTGGTTCATAAACACCTAACATGCTTTTTAATTTACATCAACATCCCACCAGTGACAAGCCCATGAGGACTGATGGATCTTTCTGAATAAGTGAAGTTGTCAACACTTCACTTCGTTTTCTTAAGTTGAGTAGTCCTCAGTCACTAACTTTCATTTCTCAGGTGGAAGACGGCGCAAAGTATATGAAACAGTTTATTTTTACTGTTTTCATCTAACAACACTATGTTGTTTGCGTACTCAAGGTTGACTGAAGGTTACCATAATCAAGTACTATCATTGGATTTATTTTAAGACGGCCAATAGTTCTACCTAGTTGCCTGAACCTCAGTAGATTGGTACAATATCAATTAATCATCCGCTGGTCTAATGTTGATCGCTTGAGTCAAACTGGCCTTCAAGCCATGTGTCGAATACCTTTGTTGACACCTGAAAATCATCTTGTTCCCCTGGTTTTGTTGTTTTCGAGTTTCAGGTGCATATATAAAGGTAACATACACCCTAAAATCATAGATACTAGGTTAGTGTATGATCTTGTGGTTATCAGAAGAGGATTTCTCTTTTGCTGGTACGTATGGTCAGCGCTTAGATCAGTTCACCTACGACTTGCATACGCTAGCTATCTAGAAATGTAATGAGCAGTCCTTAATCGTAATCTTTTAAGACTTCTGGAGGAAGATCGTCTAGCCCTACGTCTCATTTGAGGTTTAGATCAACCTTCTCAACTAAAACATTTGCCTCTATATAGCTCTCTTTATGAGCTCTTAGAAATCTGTTTAGTCACATAATACAGGTGATTGTAAACTAAGATTGTGTTAAGAGTAACACCAGCTCTCCCCACCAGTAAGCTCATGAAAACTAACCACTGAGCATTCAGACCTTTTTGAGTTGAATTCACTAAATTGATCAAGTGATGTTAATTGAAAAACAGATCTTGTCTTGTATGCGTACTTCAGAAACACAACATACATCAATATTCTGGAATATGCATGTTCAGAGAAATGCATCTGTTAAAGAACCATATCACTGGTATGCAAAGTTATGAACTAAAGTGGAATATAAAGCTATTAAGTAAGTTTTATCCTCACCTTTTCAGAGTTGAAACACAGTAATCGGTAGCAGTGGCCCTCAAGTAGGACATCGCATTGCGATTGTACCTCCATTCAACAAGCAGTATTACTTCTTAGCTTATCTTGTCTGACCTTCCTGGCATGATGGAAACCTAAGGAGTGATTTTTCAGCCAGCATAGCTCCCTAGGGTTATCGCGGAACATAAGCATTACCACTTTTTTTTTAGGAAAGTAGCTACTCATTTGATTCAAATTTTGAATATTTTGATGTTTTTCCTCTCCTCACTTTTCAAAAACTGTGCATTCGTCTGAATGTTAGGTTGTCTTGTCATTCTAGTATGATCGTAGGAAATTGACTTATGATTGTATCTTTTCTTAACTATCTTGGATATACCTACCTAGATATAGATATCCTAGATATATACCTGTCTTTGGTGAGGCTGATAAGTAAGTATGGGAAGTGACTTAAAATTCTAGAATCTTTTGTGTCTTTGGCTACCATTGCAAAATTTTATATTTTCTCACCATTGAAAGTATTTTGACACCTAGTACGTACATATAGTTATAGCTTTTTGTTGTACACTTTCATTGCAGCGTGACGTCACTCGTCTCTTGGGTATTTACTGTCCAGAAATTGACTCAACTCAACCACCAGAAAATGTAGCTGTTAAACAACCATCTATCATCAGCCGCCGTCGAAATCAAAAGTTAGAAACTCTTGACAACACAGCTCCACCCTCCAGTGAAAATGAAATATCGAATGCACAAACTAATGAATCAGATACAACAAATGTCTTAAGTTCTGCTGAAGAAGCTGTAATTACAAGTACGTCTTAAAAATTCCTTTTTAAGTTTTGTCGGTTTATTTTAGTTGGCGGCTTTTAGGTAACTTGTCGCTAAAGTATACAGGATTGATGTTTCTTGCAAACCCGAAACTTCTTAGAAGTGTACACTATCCATTCTGTATGAAATTTACATCAGGATCTGTGGCTTTGTAATTTAGACACTCGGCTTTCAACCGATGGGTCGTAAGTTAGGAATACCTCTCACTGGGTTTCGGCATGCACGTTGCATCACTAGCTTTGATACTATACATACGTGAATTTCTCATTAAAATCGAAAACAAATTCATTTAGTAACACTACAACTTATCAGGTTATTCTTGTTGTTCTAATGGTTGATTTTTTGAGTTCTCAAATATTCGTTCAGTAAACAGTAGTTTCTATTGCCTTTTTAACTGGTTTTATCTTGTGATGAAAATGGTCATTAAATCAAATTCTAACATATATTCCCCCAAATCACTCTTCTCGTCTGTAGTAAATTGAGAACCCTTTATTTTAGAGGTAACTGAACGATACTTGTAATACGACGACAATCAAATTGGCGTATATCTGTATCGTAAAAAGGATTATGTATTGTGTAGAAAAGCTGTTTGCTTTTCATGTATGAGTGTTATTTGGATTTCGAAATTACATGTGAGTACTGTTGGTGGCTACTTAAACAACTTACTAAAGAAAATCGCAAAAGGTTCACAGTAAAAATGTATATAGTCGTGATGTGCCAGCTTACAGAGATTATCACATTTTAATTGTGGAAGTTTATTTTATTTTCGCTAGAAAAGCAACTGATGCGCAACACTAGGAGAAATAGCTTTAGCTAACAAGATAAAATACAGTTGATAGAAAAGTTGTGAAACAATGCGTTAACTAACCTCCAAGTGAAAACAGTATCCTACACGTATGGATCAGAAGATACTAATCTGTCTCGCTAATGCCTCCTTTATGTTTTCGCATCGTGCAGTGGGGAGGCATTCGCTACACACCGTTCATTTAAACAGAGAGAAAAATGTAAGCCAAACAATCCATTATTTTGATGTAATCATTTCTGATGTTAAAGATTGAAAATGCAACCTTTTTGTTTTGCGATCACGACAACTCCTGAAGTGATTTAGTAAGTGCTATGTTCCGGACATTAATGTGTAGAGCTGCGTGAGCGTCTTTTTCATTAAGGCTTCATAAATGACTCATATATTTCTTAACAGCATAGTAATTTCATTATTCTGTTTCACCAATTCCTTTTTTGTCTTAAGGTTCTGCAGTGCATTCAAATTTTGAGAAAAATTCCAGTCATGATGACATGTCAGTCTACAATCTAATCCAAATTGGTTCTGGAGCAATTTGGTCACCTAATACAATACAATATACTGTACATAACTTATGAAATTAAATTTGAATAGATATCTTCTGTAATTACTTGAGTGGTTCTTGTTACCAAAGTCAGAAATAAGATGTATTATCAGAAGACGGTTTTTTGCATTACAATTTGTCAATGTCACAAGAATTCATCCATATCCCAAAATTATTTCTTAATTGTTCTGGTGATAATTTCATCAGTCTTTCCCTTCCATGTCAAATGGAATCGTACTGGCTTTTATTTGGTGCTTGATTCGAAGAACTAAATTTATTTGTCCAATTAAAGCTGCTTTCAAAAGTAACCTAAATTGTTCTCGATAGATTCTGTGTAGTTTTATGTAAAGGTGTAGACGATATATAGCTAATGAAGATAGCCATATTGATATGAGGATATATAAACTTAAAACTATCCATGGAGTTAATCTAATTTTCCTTGCCATGCCCAGTAACTTTCATGAACTTGTCCTACTGCTCTTGTACCTATCTCCTTTTCCATGGTACCGACTACTACTTGTTCGAATTCTCTCCATATATTTAGGAAGTATCCAATTATTAGACGAGTTATAGTTCCTCCTTCTAGGTGACATTCCTGCACTGATGAAGCTCCCATGTTGTCGGTTGTAAAACCTTCAGGACATGAGAGGCAGCCTGCACTTGATGGGTAATCTGTTTCGCCCAGGTAGTAACCTTTAGGACATAGATGACAACCATCGAATGCATATGGAGTTCGTGGAGCGTGACCTGGTGGACAAGGGTGACATACTGGTGAAAATTTCGTTAGTTGATAGACTGACAAACTTACTATTGATATTGGATTTTGATATATGCTATTATTCTCAAAGTGACTTAGCGACTTCAACACAGGTGGGGGTTGATATGTCTGACTTCCAGGTGGGCATATTGTACGTATACGTGTAGCAATGTCATGTATGGTCAAATTGTCTTTCATCACTCCTGTTGTTATTTGATTATCCATTTCTGCCTTCAGAACAGCATGAGTGTAGCGCAAGTACCTGCCTGTAGGATTGGACAAAAAGAAAAGAGGCTGTCTGAACAACTCAATGAGAATTGTTAATTCTGTGTATGTATTATTTTGAGGCATAAATGGCAGTGGGTCAGTAGGTTTTGTCAGCCTGATAAGTGGCATAACCTGGACTATTACATCCTGACACGGACTTTGCTTATATTGACTCGTATTGAATTTGGAATTGCACCAGTGCTTTACGTTGTTCAAAGTATGTGTAAGGTGTTTCTCTGTTAGTATTCCATTAGAACGTGATTTAAATCCGTAGCTCCATAGTATTCTAGGCGGAGTGTAAACTCGAAAAGCGAACTGTACTTGCTTAACAATTCTATTACTTCGAGGAAAAACCCATTTGTCTTAAATCCAGTCACTGATTGCGACCTTATAGCTGCACATGACACTGTTTCCATTTCATGCATAGACAGAAGGTGTTTGTTTCCTGCAGTCGATTCTCTGTATTTAGGCTCTAAATTTGTTTTGATACCTTGTATGCCTTCATTCTTAGGTGCATTTTGTGTTACATGTATTTCACTAACTCCAGTCAAGGGCATGTACATCGTCAAAACCTCTCAACATGAACCACTTCTCCTCCTCTGTTGAACCATACTGTTATGGTGTTAGCTAAACCCTCTTCCTTCAGGTTTTCGTTTGTTTGCACCCACACACTCATATTTTTAGTTTCTCGAATTTGTTTCAGCCAACAGGGTAAGTATAAATGTTTTCCCGGTGGTATCCATACAGTGTGTGTAATGACTTGCTCCGCAATGAAAAATCCGTTATATAGTAAAATATTAAGTAAGCAAATCAGTGGTAGTCCCTTCATAATTCTGTTGAATAAAGCTAGAACAAGAAGAGTTGTCGAATACAGAGTCATATAGTGCATAACTATGTTCTTTTACTGGTAACTTATCGAATTCGTTTGAAATGCAACCGATTTTTAAAATCAATAATTCGCGTAAATACCAAAATAATGTACCTATTAGTTGGTTCATTTACCATCGGTTTCAGATTTTCTCCATGATAATTCTTATACGCTAGTGGTGTAATTATTTAAGAATGAGATTTATTTCCTCAAAGATATAGGATTCAAACACAATCAGTGTCTATTCGTTTGAAGTAAATGACGTTGACCACATAGCGCCATACATATCCACCAGTAGTATACTTGCACTTGAGCAAATTCGCTATACCTAACTTCAATTCATCCACTGTGCTAAGTTTATGTAATGAGCTTCGACCCATTTGCATTATTTAACAATCTGCAATACTATTTGACTGCTCAAACCTCAGTAAATAATGATGAACAAGAAACTATGAGTCACTGGTTGTAAGTTGATCTTCTTGATGAAAGTGCAACAGTACCACTGCTGCATCTAAACCAATTAAAGGAAATGTATGTAAGACACTGGTTATTTTATGACTTATGAATTTTAATTGTTTGGCATCTTCCGAGCTTTTAGGCTTGTTCTTGGACGCTTCATCCTCAGACTAGGTGACTTCATCAGCACCTGCTTCATAAAGAAGTGAAGCATTTTCATTCTGCTTTAATGTTTAATAAAAATATTTGTCGACCTCAAGCTTTATTGGCTTGTGGATAGGAATGATCTTTCTCTCATTTTTAATCAGAGGTTGACCTGTTGTTTCCATTTGACCTATGCTATTAGTTTGCTTGGCTGATGATTCCCAGTTGGTTGATCTTTTTGGCAGTCTGTAAATTGGGTACACGTGTCTGTTACGGATCAAATTTTGAATGAAAACAGTAACAAACCAACGTATCACAAGAAGAATTGTATGCATGCGCTGTTCGCACCTGCCAAGATTCATTGCAGCACTCAACAACTACGGAAGTTTGAATTGTAAACCCCTTAATAGTGTGTTCAAAGCCAATAATCCATTTTGTTAAGAAACGCCTATCAACAAAGCACGCATCAAGACAATTATCTCAACCTACTAAATGAATCACTTAGCCATACGTTAAAAATGTCTGTGAAGCTATCAACCAGTGACTTCATCCATTCGATATTAGCTTTGCACGTAAACCAACCAAACCCTGCAGAGGATCTTATGCAAGCTGTAGGATCTATTATTCTAAGAAGACAAAACGAATGTAACCTATAAAATCAGTTGCGAAAACTCAACATCACTATATTGACCAATTCAGTGTTTGAATAACCCAAATAGTATCAACTATCAGTTAAACAACATGAACACAACCACAACTTCGATTGGAATGATATGGAACTGCTATAAAACACAAGCTCCAAGCATGGCATTCCGATCAAATGGCAATCGACAGGCACTTTTACATTGATCTAATATATAGAGTACTAAGAAGGAATCAAGCAACTGGGAGTTACCCAAGCAAACCAGTAACCAGACTCTAGATCAACAGCATTCGCCAAATGGAAACAATAGTTATAAAGACCAACATTTGATCTAAGAAAGGATGAAAGATTACTCCTGTCCACAAGCCAATAACGCTTGAGGTCGAAAAATATTCTTACTAGGCATTCATACAGATTGGGAATGTTTCACTTCTTTATGAAACGAATGTCGATAAAGTCGCGTGGTCTGGGGATGAAGCGTCTAAGGACTAACCTCAAAAATTGGAAGACATCAAATATCATCCTCATCCTAAGCTTCAGTCTTTTTCTTCACTTGTATTTATAAATAGATTCTGAGGCAGAATTTAATGAAAACGACTGTCACTGGAGTTTTCAACTTTTGTGATTACTATTGATGTATTGTATTCCGTATGACCATTGGTATGAAAATAATGTTAGGTTAAAGTGTCTCACAGTATCTGCATTATGCTTCTATTCCACTCATTTCTATCAAGAATATTGTTATAGACCGGACATCCAATGGAGACTAGTCCCAAAGTACGATCTTACTGGTCGATAAAGACACATTGACTACCAAGAGAACATCCTTAAAAATAGGTTAGTGAATTTATGTGCAACCGGTTCTATAGCCTTACATTTTAAAATCAAGATTAGATCCCTAGTTTACTGTCAATTGCAGTAAGTAGTGCGAGTCACATGACTTCCTTTCCTTATTTCTGAAGATTGATACACTAGTAATAAAAAAAACTCGGATGAAATGTTACCCATTGACCGAAATCAGATTTATTTGCAGGTGGTTATATTGGATATAGGGAGTTGGTGCACCTTGTTTTGTCCTTCTTTTCATTTGTTCTGTCTAGCACTTAGGCATAAAGTTTTACCCTATCTTTCAATGTGTCTCGTAGGATTGTTAGAGCTTTAGCTAATTCATCACTTCATGAGATTTTCTGATGTTTTTTTTTATTTGACCTTACTAAATTTACTGTGAATAGAGTCATTTTATTAAATACTGTCTGCGCTTTCATATTTTAACAAATAATCTGAAGTGAAATAAAAATCTGGCCGGGAGTCGGGTGCGGTAGCTCAATCGATAGAGCACGAGGTAGGCAATTTTGTGGTCTGTGGTTTGATTCCTGCTGCGGCCTAGATTTTCATTTCACCTTTAATCATAACTGAGTATCAATAAAACTCTACCAAACCGCGGTTATCTCAGATATTCAAACTGAATATTAATTGAAGAGGTAACGTTGTAAATTTAACTCCATATTATTTTTAATAGCGAATTGCCTTTTTGAACTAGTTTGTGCATCCTACTGGCTTGTATTTAGTGTATTCTGACCCTACGGTATTTTGTGTACACACGTGTCATTAGGTTTTAAGCAAATGTGAACACTAAACGAAACTCAAATACAAGATTGAATATTCTCTGTCTTACCCATCGAGTTATGTGATACTGATGTTTCTTTATGTGTAAATTTTCTCTTTTGCGGTACACGTTAACCAAAGCAGTCGTTTAGAATGAAACACCCACCAGGGAGTCACTGTAGGCAATAAGGATAAATATAACTGCTTGAAAATTTGTCCATGCAGATAACTTTTTGCTTCCTCTGTGTAGATCGCTGTAATCACCTGATTAGTAATTTTTCTGTATTATCTCATTTTTTCAAGTTCATTGGGATTTTGTCAAGTGAATATTCTTAAGTATACGTCCCCTTATGTTGAACAGTCGTTTTCTATCTGCTTTTCGGTCTGATTTCTATAGCAACCAGCAGAGGGTAAGCTAATGTAGCGAAAATTACCACCATAGAACGGTAAATTGAGAAACTAAATCTCATATTTTGACTCTACTTCCCTACCACTTCATATTGCTATTCTTCTCCTCATATATATTCATACAATCACCATTGACCTTGCTTTTTGT